GTGTCTGTGTCTGTGTCTGTGTCTGTGTCTGTGTCTGTGTCTGTGTCTGTGTCTGTGTCTGTGTCTGTGTCTGTGTCTGTGTCTGTGTCTGTGTCTGTGTCTGTGTCTGTGTCTGTGTCTGTGTCTGTGTCTGTGTCTGTGTCTGTGTCTGTGTCTGTGTCTGTGTCTGTGTCTGTGTCTGTGTCTGTGTCTGTGTCTGTGTCTGTGTCTGTGTCTGTGTCTGTGTCTGTGTCTGTGTCTGTGTCTGTGTCTGTGTCTGTGTCTGTGTCTGTGTCTGTGTCTGTGTCTGTGTCTGTGTCTGTGTCTGTGTCTGTGTCTGTGTCTGTGTCTGTGTCTGTGTCTGTGTCTGTGTCTGTGTCTGTGTCTGTGTCTGTGTCTGTGTCTGTGTCTGTGTCTGTGTCTGTGTCTGTGTCTGTGTCTGTGTCTGTGTCTGTGTCTGTGTCTGTGTCTGTGTCTGTGTCTGTGTCTGTGTCTGTGTCTGTGTCTGTGTCTGTGTCTGTGTCTGTGTCTGTGTCTGTGTCTGTGTCTGTGTCTGTGTCTGTGTCTGTGTCTGTGTCTGTGTCTGTGTCTGTGTCTGTGTCTGTGTCTGTGTCTGTGTCTGTGTCTGTGTCTGTGTCTGTGTCTGTGTCTGTGTCTGTGTCTGTGTCTGTGTCTGTGTCTGTGTCTGTGTCTGTGTCTGTGTCTGTGTCTGTGTCTGTGTCTGTGTCTGTGTCTGTGTCTGTGTCTGTGTCTGTGTCTGTGTCTGTGTCTGTGTCTGTGTCTGTGTCTGTGTCTGTGTCTGTGTCTGTGTCTGTGTCTGTGTCTGTGTCTGTGTCTGTGTCTGTGTCTGTGTCTGTGTCTGTGTCTGTGTCTGTGTCTGTGTCTGTGTCTGTGTCTGTGTCTGTGTCTGTGTCTGTGTCTGTGTCTGTGTCTGTGTCTGTGTCTGTGTCTGTGTCTGTGTCTGTGTCTGTGTCTGTGTCTGTGTCTGTGTCTGTGTCTGTGTCTGTGTCTGTGTCTGTGTCTGTGTCTGTGTCTGTGTCTGTGTCTGTGTCTGTGTCTGTGTGTGTGTCTGTGTCTGTGTCTGTGTCTGTGTCTGTGTCTGTGTCTGTGTCTGTGTCTGTGTCTGTGTCTGTGTCTGTGTCTGTGTCTGTGTCTGTGTCTGTGTCTGTGTCTGTGTCTGTGTCTGTGTCTGTGTCTGTGTCTGTGTCTGTGTCTGTGTCTGTGTCTGTGTCTGTGTCTGTGTCTGTGTCTGTGTCTGTGTCTGTGTCTGTGTCTGTGTCTGTGTCTGTGTCTGTGTCTGTGTCTGTGTCTGTGTCTGTGTCTGTGTCTGTGTCTGTGTCTGTGTCTGTGTCTGTGTCTGTGTCTGTGTCTGTGTCTGTGTCTGTGTCTGTGTCTGTGTCTGTGTCTGTGTCTGTGTCTGTGTCTGTGTCTGTGTCTGTGTCTGTGTCTGTGTCTGTGTCTGTGTCTGTGTCTGTGTCTGTGTCTGTGTCTGTGTCTGTGTCTGTGTCTGTGTCTGTGTCTGTGTCTGTGTCTGTGTCTGTGTCTGTGTCTGTGTCTGTGTCTGTGTCTGTGTCTGTGTCTGTGTCTGTGTCTGTGTCTGTGTCTGTGTCTGTGTCTGTGTCTGTGTCTGTGTCTGTGTCTGTGTCTGTGTCTGTGTCTGTGTCTGTGTCTGTGTCTGTGTCTGTGTCTGTGTCTGTGTCTGTGTCTGTGTCTGTGTCTGTGTCTGTGTCTGTGTCTGTGTCTGTGTCTGTGTCTGTGTCTGTGTCTGTGTCTGTGTCTGTGTCTGTGTCTGTGTCTGTGTCTGTGTCTGTGTCTGTGTCTGTGTCTGTGTCTGTGTCTGTGTCTGTGTCTGTGTCTGTGTCTGTGTCTGTGTCTGTGTCTGTGTCTGTGTCTGTGTCTGTGTCTGTGTCTGTGTCTGTGTCTGTGTCTGTGTCTGTGTCTGTGTCTGTGTCTGTGTCTGTGTCTGTGTCTGTGTCTGTGTCTGTGTCTGTGTCTGTGTCTGTGTCTGTGTCTGTGTCTGTGTCTGTGTCTGTGTCTGTGTCTGTGTCTGTGTCTGTGTCTGTGTCTGTGTCTGTGTCTGTGTCTGTGTCTGTGTCTGTGTCTGTGTCTGTGTCTGTGTCTGTGTCTGTGTCTGTGTCTGTGTCTGTGTCTGTGTCTGTGTCTGTGTCTGTGTCTGTGTCTGTGTCTGTGTCTGTGTCTGTGTCTGTGTCTGTGTCTGTGTCTGTGTCTGTGTCTGTGTCTGTGTCTGTGTCTGTGTCTGTGTCTGTGTCTGTGTCTGTGTCTGTGTCTGTGTCTGTGTCTGTGTCTGTGTCTGTGTCTGTGTCTGTGTCTGTGTCTGTGTCTGTGTCTGTGTCTGTGTCTGTGTCTGTGTCTGTGTCTGTGTCTGTGTCTGTGTCTGTGTCTGTGTCTGTGTCTGTGTCTGTGTCTGTGTCTGTGTCTGTGTCTGTGTCTGTGTCTGTGTCTGTGTCTGTGTCTGTGTCTGTGTCTGTGTCTGTGTCTGTGTCTGTGTCTGTGTCTGTGTCTGTGTCTGTGTCTGTGTCTGTGTCTGTGTCTGTGTCTGTGTCTGTGTCTGTGTCTGTGTCTGTGTCTGTGTCTGTGTCTGTGTCTGTGTCTGTGTCTGTGTCTGTGTCTGTGTCTGTGTCTGTGTCTGTGTCTGTGTCTGTGTCTGTGTCTGTGTCTGTATAACGCATAACTCATGAACCGATACACGGAAAAACACCAAATTTCAAACTTAAGCTTTGTTCTAGCGTCTAATGAGCTGATTAGATTTTGGGTAGAGTCCGAACATCTGGGGGGGTACTTTATAGGTGGTCATTTTTATATTTTATGGAATATATCTGTTATTTACGTTTGGGGAAGAAAATTCTTCAAATGAAAGTTACTTCTAATATAATTATCTATAATTTTTGTTTTATGCAAAATTTTCCTAAAATGGTCCGTATTCGAGAAATTTGACAAAATGTAAAAAAAATAATTTTTTATAAAAATTGTTTAAATAAAAGTTGTTTGTAATATAATTCTCTATAATTTTTGTTCTATACATAATTTCTCTAAAATGGACCGTATTCAAGATATTTGAGAAAATGTGTAAATTTCGAATTTTGAAGAAAACTCAAAAACGGATAAAGAAAAAAACATTAAATTTTAAACTTAAGGTTTATTTCGGCCTGACGTGAAATGATTAGATTTTTGACATATTCGGAACAAATGGGGGGGGGGGGGGGGGGGGTACTTTATGGGAGGCCACTTTTATATTTTATGGAATATATCTGTTATTAATGTTTGGAGAAAAAAATTGTTCAAATAAAAGTTACTTTTAATATTATTATCTATAATTTTTGTTTCATGTAAAAATTTCCTGAAATGGTCCGTATTCGAGAAATTTGACAAAATGTGCAAAATTCTGATTTTTATGAAAGTTTTTGAAATAAAAGTTGTTTGCGATATCGATCTCTATAATTTTTGTTTATACATGATTTTTCTAAAATGGACCGTAATGAAAAAATTGTAGGAAATTTAAATTTTTCAGTATTTTCGTTTTCCATGAATATCTATAGAAAAATGTTTTGAGGTAGATGTATGTGAACAATGTATATATTTAGTTTATCCTCTAAACATTTATAGAGATGTTGCAATAGGCTGTACAAAATAACCGGAAAAAGCCTATAATAACTAGATAGGAAAGTCATGTGTTGGACACATCAGATTTTTTAAGAAATATCCTTAAATTATTAAAAAAATTATATTTTCGTTGATTTGGCTACACCACCGCGTCTATCTAAAATAGCATGTTGTACACCTGATAATATTTTTAATAAATCTGATTTGACATACTAGACTTTAAGGCATTCTTTAAACATTGATTTAAATAGATTTTCACAAAATTTGGTTAATAAATAAAATTCAAACTAATTTAGGAAAATTATTATTATTATTAACAAATAGTAAAATAATAGTATATTATTAAACGAGTAATTTATGGTAGCCATTATTCACGCAGGGTGACGTTTGCGTCCCGAGTCGTAGGCGAGGGGCGCAGCGCAAGTCACCCGAGTGAATAATGGCCATAAATTGCGAGTCTAATACTATACTTTGTCCACGACCATTATGGTTTCTTTATTAAATAAAAGTTAAGTGTAGAATGGAAAGTTTTTATTAAACATAGGATTTTCGATTTTTCGATTTTTCGATTTTCGATTTTCGATTTTCGATTTTCGATTTTCGATTTTCGATTTTCGATTTTCGATTTTCGATTTTCGATTTTCGATTTTCGATTTTCGATTTTCGATTTTCGATTTTCGATTTTCGATTTTCGATTTTCGATTTTCGATTTTTCGATTTTTCGATTTTTAAATTTTTCTAATTTCTAATTTTTCGATCTAGAAAATATCGTTATGAAAAGTATCGCCCATCTATCAGTTTAGACATACGTTCTGTCGTGACGTCATACTGTGAATAATGGATCATTATTCACTAGTGAATAATAGGTGTTATTATTCTTAAGGAAGTACAAGTATAATGAATGTTTTATAGAACAGTCGTGGACAAACACATTAATAAACGTTCTATGGAATATTATGTATTAAGCAGATGGTTAAAATATCTGTTATTAACACTGTGTCAGCTCTGGCAAATGTTTAAAGCTCCCACAACCCTATGAAGGGTGTTTGTATTTACAATTGCAAGTGCATTAATCTTGCAAGTGTATTTTTCCGCTTGCTTGCCTTTTATACTTCGCACAAAAAATAACGTGGGATTACACCTATTACGTCAAAATGTACTGCTTGCAAGGTCGGCTTTCACTTCGGAATATGTTGGATGTATTTCCAACAATATTTTTGTACATAACTTATAATAATTTTGAAAATGGATTCAAAATCAGTATTAATTCTTTAAAACATTCCCCATGTAACCGACCTTCTATCTCCTATATCGAATTTGGGACACAGTGTATGTCAATCTTACTATAAAATGTGGAAGATATTCGTTTCTCAGCCTCAATACATCTAATTATTTTTTAGTACATCAGTGAATTAGTTCTTTTGGAAGGCAACGATTATCTGAATCTACTTCCATCCAAATTGGCAGCCGCTTGTGTAGCGTTGGCTCGCTACACTTTGTGGAAGCGCATTACGTGGCCAAAGAGGTTGAAAAAAGTTAGTGGATACTCCTTGAAAGATCTCAGCCCTGTTATACAAAAACAAAATCAGACTTTGAATGATTCCCCAATGAAACAGCAACAAGCTATTCAATCCAAGTATAAGAAATCAATGTTTAACAAAGTCGCATTAATTAAACCAAGGAAACTGGTACTTGAAGAAAATGAATAGTGGAGAAAAAGTGAGTATCTGTATAAATATAGCTCTTATACGCGTAACATTCGTATTTCGTACTAACGTCTATCACCTTTTATATTGTGTACAGGATAAAGGATAATATATTCGATTCCGAACCAAATGTCAGTTTGGATTTAATTCAATGTAGTGCGTATTTATCACGAAAATGACTTACACAGTACTTAATATTTTATATTATGCGTAGCCATGCTTTCCCAGCGAACATGTGGCAACTACGATAACCCCGTTATCACTATGCTCTCTAGCTTTTGTGTCTCACATTCGGTTCGGCTAATATCCCACCACCATATCTTCTAATTCTAATCGACGACTGGCTGTTGCTCTGTTGCCATTTTATTAACTTGTATACTAGTCGTATACCTAATACGAAAAAAATAGACACTGTATTTATTTTTGTCGGTTTTATATAGGTATATCGGATTTATTTTCTATGCCTATAAATACATTTCTTCCTAACCCTACGAGTTCAGCTTGTATGGGAGGTCCTTGTTTCCAGGATTCTCGGACTGGAATTTGAATTTTTTTTCAAATTTGTATGTGGTTATGGCTTTATTAGATGGCATTATCAGAATCTTTTCCAATTAGATCTTAAACTATATAAAACGAGCTAAATTATTGTAATTTATAGTAGATAAAATAAATACTTAAAGAATTTATATAATATGATATCTATATTTACATTTTTTTTTATTTTAGGTAACGCCTTGTGAAGGGTTTTATTTTATTGGATTAAACTCAAAAGACTGCTTTATACACCATTTTATATATTTTTGTATTTTATGTAGGTACTGTTTATTCGTAGTATCTATAATGACTATTGCCATTATTGGTTTTATTTTGTACAAAGTGATATACTTGTAACTAACTGAATAATTATTTTATTATTAAAAAGATGATCCCAGTAATAGTCTTTTATTTACAGTGATATATACGTACATAATAGTAATAAAATAATTAACAACATGATGTAAACAAAGCGTAGATATCTATCCTTCCGATATCTCTGAACAAACCTTAAGTTTAAGTCAATGAAAGTCAAAAGAAACATCAAAACAATATTGTCCAAATGGGAAATTATATAACTTCCGTTTTTAGAAGATTGCTAGATTATCCTTTAAAAGCAAGTCGTCCTTGTGCTTTTGAATCAGAAATTCCTCAACCAGGTTGGTAAATAAATGTTATTCACCAAAAGTAGAGGAGGCAGTTCTACTTACGTTTTCTTTCCCTTTTACAAAAACTATTTTATAAAAATGGATGTTTCAAAAATTCAAGTAAATTCACCAAATTTTGTTGGAATTACATAGTCGTAAACATTTTGAGATCCTTTTAGTGCCGATAGAAAAATCAGTTCCGGTGAAGAATCCAGATGCACGAATTTTGAAATTTTATCACCAGATTATTGAAGTAACTTACTTTTTATAATATTTTAGATACGGAAAAGTATGTTTCGTTTGCATTTTTAATTTATATTATTAAAAAGCCACTATTATCACTGTTTAATCCTTAGAACATATATAGTTAGGAATGAGCATACCATGTCCACGTTAATCTAATCGATCTGACGGAAGTGGTAGCCATGTTGTACTATGGATGACTCATCATCATATGATAGATGGTTTCTAAAATTAGTTTATAATTTTAGTGATTAAAATTTGTTAATTTGGATGTTTTATGTGTTAGTTTAAATTTTTATCAAGCGTATGTTTTGTAGACATTTTTAAAAAATGTTTAGTGTTTTAGTATTTATTTAGTATTACTGTTAATTTTAAATTTTTTGCGTTAAAAGACAAACAAGACAATATGGTCAGTTGTTCGTCTTGTGGATATAGAGCACAGCTAAAAGTAGAAAGAAATAATCTATATTTCATGAGCAAGTATTTTGTTTTCTCAATTTTCAACCACATTAAAGATTTTTTAAAGTTTTAATGTTTTAAATTTGTAAACAAACATGGTAAGTGCGTTTGCGATCAACTGTGCTCATAGGCTTAGTCTCGTGGTTTATAGGGTATACATACTTTTATTTAAACAATTCTTTTATGCAATTTTAAGATATTTATGTGGTTGTTAAAATAAAAAAAATATTATTTAATTTAGATTTATAAATTGATTGCAAGTAAACAATTTTCAGATTTCTTAAAGATTCTAGATTTACAAATTATATAATTTAATGCCAGGTTGACAATTTTCAGATTTCTTAAAGATTCTTATCATCGCGATTCCAAGGTCGTTTAGGATTCCTCCTTCCTGACTATATATATTCTAAGGTTTAACCTAACATTTAACATGTCTTTCTGCAACTAAACGTAAACTCATGAAATTATCTTTTTGTGGCGTAAACGGTCAATTAGTTTACAACGTTGCCATATTTACTGTAGTAGAGATGTCCAAGTCGAAATAAAAAATTGGGTTTTGAAGACAAAAAAAAATCAGTTGATGAAATAAGTTCAAATAACAAAAGTTCGAAATAGAAAATTACAAAACCAAAATAGTTCGAACAATATAAAAATTCAAATATTAAAACTTCGAAAATACAGAAGTTTGAATGACAAAACTTTAAAAATACAAACATTTAAATGACGAAACGTCTCATTTTATGTGTAATTTAATTTCAAAGCAACCGGCGATGGCTCCTGGTCACCAGGTTTGTTAAGTTTTTTTAATTTTTTCTCATTTAATATATAATTTTTCTGCGAAACAATCCACGATGGCTCTAAGCCGCACAGGTTAGGTAAATTATTTATTTTTTATTTTTCTTATTTTGTGTTTATTTTTTTTTTCAACAACCTGCAATGGCTTCAGGGCGCACAGGTTAGGTAAGTGTTTTTTTAAAAAATGTTTTTCTCATTGTATATGTAATTTTACTGCGAATAAACTCCCGATTGCTCTACGCTACCAGGTTTAGTAAGAGTCTTTATTTTCTAGTTAAATGTATAATTTGTCTGCAAAGTAACTCGCAGTGGCTCCAGGACGCACAAGATAGGTAAACTAGATAAGTTTTGTAATTTTTCTTATTTTATGTATAATTTCTCTGCAAAGTAACCCGCGATGGCTCCAGGCCGCACAAGTTAGGTAAATTATTTAAGTTTTTTTTTTGAATTAGGATATTAGGAAAATATCTCTTTTTTTAATATATTTTACATACTTTTTATAATATTCGCCTATTTTGTCATAACATTGATTAAATTAGTGTCAGATTTCTGTGATACTTGTAATTTAATTTATAATTTGGCAACGTTGTGCTTCTTAAGACAGAATTTGTCAATTATAACCTACAAAATCGAGATTACCAATTACAATTTTTTCGAAAAATAGTGGTTTTTCCGCAATTTTAATTTTTTTAATTTACTATAGATACTAGTTACTTTTTAATGTTTAAATTTCTTTTTGGGAAATTCGTGCATTTGGATTCTGCATCAGGATTTTATGAGTAACACGTTGAACACAAAGCTGAAAATTTGTAGATTTATAATTTAATACCAGTTTAATATGAAAATAATGACCTGCCAGAGATACCACGGTTGCGAAACCTACATTTATTTTTTCGATAATGTCAAAAAAAGTTGTTAAAATAATGTTTTACAAGTCTAAAACTTTTAGGAAATATTATTTTAAAGAAGTTCACTCGTAAAACGGTTTTTCTTAAGAATTCAATAAAATTGAAATATAAGGTTAATGAAAATGTGTTTTACGTAAGTAAAAAAAAAATGAATTTTTTGAACGTCTGTGAAACGAGATATTGGGGTCTATTCTGTAACAATTCCTTTATATTTAACGGCCTTTAAAAATATTGGCGGCCTATAAAAATATATTCGTATTCGTTAATTTACTTCTATCATTATTAAAACAGATTTCTTTAAGATAGTCCTCTAATGTATTTTAAAGATCCGTTTAAATAGTGACCGAATTAAAGAAGGAAATATTTTTAAAGGCCGTTAAATATAAAGGAATTTTTACAGAATAGACCCCATTAACATTCAAAATGTGCATAATTAACAGTCTTGAAGCCTGTCATGTACACAAGCAATGCATTTATTTCAAGATATCTTGAAAACGGTTATTACTCTATTTTTTTAAAACTAACGTAAATCAAGAATTTTTTGACCGTCTTGGTAAAAAGATATAGATTTTAAAATAAAAATATTTTTAAAGCAGTCGACGCGTAGTTGCGAACAATGATTACAACTTGGACGGTAACTGAATAACATTCGATCAGGGTATATTTTTGAATCTTAGGGAGTAGACATTTTGAGGAAAGAATGAAACAAAAATACTAATTTTGCGCGTTGCAGATAGAGGCAAAACCGATTTTCTAATCGCTCGAATTCAAAAATAGCTAACCAGCTAAGAGCATGGAGGTAGAAGGTAGGAAGACGCTGTCACGTGGTCCAAGACGGGTTCACTTCCGCCATATTGTGTTCACGAATCCTTCAAACAGCTAATTGTGGTTTCAATTAACGTTTTTTCTATTCTTATGTTGTTTGGAAACCAAATAATATTGTACATATTAAAAGTTAAACATTGGTTGCTTGTGCTCAACGTATTTTTAGCAACCTAATAGATATTTATATGAATAAATTATCTGAAATAACATTCCACAACTAAATATACAACATAGTAAATAATGTGCAGGGCCGTACTTGAGATATTAATTGTGCTTTGAGTGATAGTGTTGTAACCATATTAGGGTTTTATAAAGATTAATTAAAAATGAGAGAATTTGCTGCAGTTGGTGCAAAAATTAGATTTAAAATAATCATATATATTCTCTTAAATTCTAGAAATTTACTTCAGTTTCATTATAAAAAGTATTTGTCTTTAAAAAAATTAT